CCTTCTCCGCCCCCCCCCCCCCACCTAAATTACTTAGATTAGGCTCCCAGAACCAGAAACATCTGTACAATTGGCACCCATCCCACATTTATGGGACTTAATGTAAATGGCATGATTGTATATTGGATCCTGGGAATGTCTGTATGTGGCCCTAGGAAATGGTTCATGAATTCTCAGCTTTAAGCTGTCTTTAGTCCATTGTATCTTGTTGTTATACCACATATTGTAATTGCAGTGGTTTTCTTTTTCATCTTGGTAACTACTAGGGCTGTGCGAAATTTCACTGGGAGTTTCATTTCAACACTGTTTCGACCAATTTCGAGGTCAAAACAGCAAAATCAGAACAAAACAAAGGCCATTGAAATAGCATCAAAACGAAATGAGGTTAGTCGAAACGCTTCAACCATAGGCTGGGGATGGGAAGTCAGTCTAGCTGGGCTGACTTTCCATCCCCAGCGCAAGATCCGGCAGGGGAGGCGGAGTCGGCCAGCTGGGTTGACTCCCCATCACCTGCGCTAGATCCCCATCCTCAGCACTAGATTGTACCAGGGGTGGCGAGGCAGCCCTGCTGGGCTGCTTTACCATCCCCCAAGCTAGATCTTGCCAAGGGCTGGGCTGCCTCCCAATCCCCAGCGCTAGATTGCACTGGGTACGATCTAGCGCTGGGGATGGGAAGTCAGCCCACCTGGGCTGACTCCCCAGCAAAACATTGAAACAGCATCAAAACAGCCTTATGTTTCGATGGAACGGAACAACTGTTTCAACTCTAAATGAAATTCAAAATGGAACACTGTTCTGTCAAACTGTTGAAACTCAAGGTGAAACGAAACTGTGCCGTTTCTCACTGCCCTAGTAACTACATCTAAAATCATGCCTGTGATGTAAAAATGCATCCTTTGTTTAAAAAAAAAAAAAAAAATGAAGAAGTCAAACTTACATTCTTTTTGCATGACAGAAACAATATAGGTTAGTTGCTATGAACAACTTCATAGTTTTCAGGAGATAGAGGTGATGGACTAGCTTGTCGATGAAGTCAATGCTATTGCCCTTATGCCCTTATTAATGCTGTGCAAGGTTAGACAGACTGGCTGTTGGGTATAATTTAGGAATAGCTGAATTAATAGTGCTATGATGTGGAGTTCAAGGAAGTTTCTCTCTACCCATGCCTGCATATTCTTTGCTGACCCAACTTATTTTAATATTCATGGCTTTTTAAGTTATACCGAGATGCAACAGAAGAGAGGACCACATTTTTACCTGAACAGTTGTGCTCGTGCAAAAGAACAAAGCATGCAGAAGAACAGCTACTTGTCTGTATAGACTACACTTTTGATTTGATCTTTACTGTGCAACTTTGCAGGCCCTCTTCAGGCATAGGGAAAGGAAAAGGAAGATAAAGGAGATAGATGGAGCCTTAGACCTTTTGCCCCTCTCATTTGTAAATTGATATTTCCAGAGATCAAGAGGATGTAGCAGACAGTTTATCTTCTGGATCACAATTCCCTTGATGCTATGCTCCTGAGGAGTTACAGGAAATGCTTCCCCTTAGTATGAACTATGTCCCACAAATACAATGTATCCCTTGAAAATGAACAATTGATTATGCTCATTTAAGTTCAGTCTCTTACTTCAGGCTTCAAATTGCTTCTATTGATGTATTTAGTTCCATATCTGCTAACCAAATCTTAAACTTCAGAATTTTAAAGTGCATTGAAAAAGCTTGCCAATGTATTTGAAAGACAGATGTTGACAAAGAGGAAGGACTCGAAACATTTATAATGTTTCAGTTTTTTAATTATTTCACAAAAAACCTCATTTTCGTTTAATGTACTCTTCTCAAGTAGGAGTACCCTTTTCATCCTGGTAATTGCTACACGTAAGATATTACAGCTCTTTAAGGAAGACCAAGGGCAGTAATGTCTGAACAGTTAATACTAAGCGTAAGCAAAAATGTCTTATTTAAACAAGTGTCAGAGCTTATTTGAAAAAAAAAAAAAAAGCTTTGGAATTCAATTAAGAGATAATTTATACTATAGATTTGAAAAGAAATACAGGCTTTGAGTAACTGTATTGCCTAAAGTAGTAGAGGGATTTTAATAACAGCTTAAGAATGGGAAAAGATAGCCAGTGCCCTTGGGCCTGATAACTACCTGCAGTTGACCAGATCCTTCATTCCACAAGATTTTGGTGCATAAGGACCAGTATCTCCATCCAGACACCTGGATTCCAGTGCCCATAAAAGGTGACTTCTGACACCTTTTTTTAATAAATATTGACCCTGTCCCTTCAACTGACTCTGTGCAGCTTTTCTGCTGTACCTCTGAAAGGATTGATTAATGCCAGCATGGAATGTAAAAGGTGAAGTAGGTGGAGAGGGAGGAACAGAGTTATTTTGAGAGATGTCTAAATTTTCAAAGATAACATAACCTGTAGGATTCATCCCAACAAGATTCTTTGAAATTCCTAGTCAAAATACCTGAAGGGCTATTTGTGTTCCCTTTATTTCCCCTCCAGTACTAACAAAACAGGACTTCCTTTGAAGTTCTGGTTATATTATATTATTGGTGATTGTAGGTAGAACTGTGTGGGTGCTATAAGCACCTGTCAAACTCCTTTAAAATATTGCCTCTGTATGAGATCCTGTTGTTCCTCAGGACTACAGAATATCAAGTTGATTATTCAGAGGTGAGCGAGTATGACATAAAGGGAATTTTTAATGTTTTCCTATTAAAAATTGAATCAAAGCCCTGACATTGTGAATCACAGTGGGCCTGAACAGCTCAGAGGATGGGTGTCGGGCTGTTTGGCAAAAAGATATTTTATTTATCTAACTCATTGATTTTTCAATTGTGAAATTTGTAAATGGGAATTAGTTATGGATGAACAGCTAGGAGCAGATGTGGTAAAGAACTGCTGCTAGAGATTTTTGGCAAACACTTTTTAATTTCATTTTTATAATCCATTTATGAGATGTGAATGTTAATAATGAGCAGTGGGGTGAGAGATCTGAAAGGTACTTTATCAATATAGACTCTAAATACTTAAAATTTTCAGCATATTTTTCTTTTCTATACTACACAGACATGATTCTGAGGACTGTTAAACCCAGGGCCAAGGAAATTACCTTCTTTCCGTTGTCTGATTTTTCTACAATTGATTGGGGATGGAACAAGATGGTACATAAATAAGGTCTTCATTTACTTTCTTCAAGTAAGTCATAATATACTTTCCCTGCCATTCTGATTTCAAGGGATGCAGAATTTACTGCTCAGGGGGTTCAATTCAACAGGCAAGGTCAAGTAGGCCATTGTGGAGAAACCTGCATTAACTTCTGCATATAAGGTACATGGGATTCTCTGACTTCTCCCTTTGGTAGGTTGCAGCAGAAATTTCCTGATCAGCTCAAAGAAGCTAGCAGACCTTACCAAATGTGGTGAGAGTCATCCACCACAAACTATAATTAGATTGCTGTTCTTGGTACCATTTATTTCTAAAAACTGACAAAATCAAGTTGTGGATGAGCAAAATAATTGATTATAGCATGAGACTAGTTTGCCCACAGTAAAGGAGAGCGGAGATATTAAAGTTTATTTTCTGCCTCCAAGGACACTTAAAATAGAGCTCCCAGAGATTCCCTTGCTTAGTTATATTCATTGACTTGGAGGCTTACTACAGAGAATTTTGCTAGAGGCTTAAGGAAGTCTTGCCAACATTCACACAGCTTTAAAAATACGTCTCCAGTGGATGTGACTAAACTTTGAAAGCAAAGTTTGTATTCCAATTCTGAAATTTCTCTTTTGCTAAATTAATTTTTAAAGACAGTTTTTTCTGAGTCTGGTATGAAGCATAGTTGTTTTCCTAACTATCATGCATCATAATATTTTACAATTGTGCCAGCAGAGAAGCAGAATCATTTGGACGCTTTGCTGTTGCATAATGCATTTTGTATATTTTGTTGATGTCTAATTGTTTCTCGAGAAAATTAAATGCAACATGTTGTTTTTAATCTTTCTAATTGTCAAAGGTGTGGGATAACAATAAAAATATTGCATCTTACATAATTGTACACTCTGCTAGGGCTCTACTGAGATTTAATCTACATGCAACATTTCTGCAGCATGCAAAGGCTTTAATAAGAGAAAGTCAATGAGCCTCATGTACCTTTTATAAAACATGACATAAGGCAATATAATTAAAACTAAACTTATTTCCTGTGGTGAAATTAACTTACAGAAATGAAGGTGTTTATTTATTAAATAGGATCTCTGGAGCTCTTGCCTTATTCTTTCCCCTCCTGGGAAGGTTTTGATTGTTTGCTTCCTTTCTCTTGCCTGCTTGCTGTGTAATTTAAAACTGATACCTTCCTTTGGGAAACAAAATTTGATCGGAGAACAGCCTGCATCACCACCTAAACAAATTACCAATGTTTTACTTACTTTTCTTCTTCTATTCTTTTTTTTAACCATCAGAAAAAAAAATGTGTACAGAGACTTACAAGTGTGGTAGTACAGCCAGATTGAATTTGCAGTAACAAGGAGTTCACAATCATCCCTTCCATCCTGGGTAAATATTTGCTGATTGTAAAATAAGAAGGCAGAAAGGTATTGTTTTCTTGGTGTGGTTGAGTCTTATTTTGATTTTGGTTGTTGCCACTGTTGTTTCCTTGGTGAACTTATTTGACTTTACCTGGTTTAAATTAGGTAGTATCACTCTGAAAAGGGATGATAGGATGTTTTGTGCAGCATAACCTGTGGAATTTATTTTCATGTGATGCTACTGAGATAGGTTTAAGAATTACAAAAAGATCAGACAGTGAAATAAATGCGGTGCCACTACTTACAAAGATTAAAATGTCCAACAGTTATCATGCTTCATGATCATCTGATTTCTTTAGGGTATTATGTAATCATTAGTTTTCTTTTGAGAAGGAATTTCTCCCCCAAGATGTAGAAGTATACAAGTAAATTATTTAGTGGAGTTTATTTTTTTTTTTCCAGTTTCCTAAGCATCTGCAAGTGGCCACTGAAATTTGAAGTAAATGAATGAATTTGTTGCCCTGGACATTTGTTTCTTAAAACTTTTTCAATTTAGCAAATGGCATTTATGCAATGGTTAATATTTCATTTTTAGAAGACATTGGCCTAACAAGAATACCAAACCAAAAGCTCCTTTAATTTGGAGAAAACGTAATAATAGTTGGCAGTTTTCATTGCAGTACATTTCATGGGGTTGGCAAAATTTGGAGCTGGTGTCCTAAATCCAAAACATTCCTGAACTTTGAATAAGTGTGAATTTGGATGCACACCTGGAGCTGATCAACATGTTTTAGGCTCATTACTAGTAATAAAGAATCTTCTTATCCTTTTCTATAACTCTGAAGAAGCAGGAAGGTAAAGCATGTTATTGATCTAGCCATACTTACAAAGGGAGGATAAACTGTATGAAAAATATATAGGTTTGTTTGTTTATACAGTACTCCCAGAAACACATCTTAAAATGAAAGATGATCTTTCTTGTTTCAAATGCAATATAGATTTCTATGTTATCTTTGAAATTTGAGCTGATTTGAATGTCTTGCTACAGAGATTTTTTTTTTAAAACTCAGAAATTAGTTTTTAGAAGTTCTAAGACAAATAATTTTTCAATACTGGCTCTGAGAGGAACTCCTCCCCCACCCCCTTTTTAAACAAAATTCTCAAAGTATAGAACAGCAAATAACATTTTACCATTCAAAGAAGAGAAGGCATTTTATAACCTGAAGGTTTACAGCTGCCTTGATATCAGGCTATTCTTTGCAGTCTGTAAAGATAGTCTGTTTTAACTGCAATCATTTCCTGAGAATATTGGCATCAAGTATTGCTACATTCCTGTCTGCCGCAACATTGCTTACTTTAGTTTTAGGGACAGTTCTAGCCTTGAGTTGCTGTGAAATGGTTATTTAAGGGATTATAGCTGTTTAAGGGAGATTTAAGAAAAATGAAGAAACTGATCCTTGAAGATTACTTCTGGCTTCTCCAAACCTTGACAAGCATTTGGAGTTGGGGTTTAACTGTCTTTTGAGGTTTGTGCTAAGTTGTAGTAGATATTTTCTGATTTCACAGGAAGGGAGACTGTCCATTTCTAAGAAGGGCATAGTTTGATGGACAAGTTAGAGTTGTGGAACGTGGGCATAACAATAGGCAGTTTTTATACAGCACATCTCACTTAAACAGCAAAAATCCAAGGATGTATCTTCAGGCACCTTGTGCCCTGCTTCACAGCAGGGCATGGGAAAGTTATCTCTGCTGCAGTTCACTGGGCGCTTAATGCCACAAAGGTGCTATATCAATAGAAAAATTACCCCCCAGAAAATCTGTGATTGGAGGAATCAGCTAGCAGGAATCGCTCTATAGCTGGTAAACTGAGAAGTGAAAACCTGTTAGAAAGACATGTTGTAATAAAGGGAAGATCTGGCCCAATGAATGATACTTCAGGAGTGTGCAAAAATTTTCACTTACTTTCTCTTTCCTATATGGAAGATAAGGGATCTTTATCTTTCTGGGGAGAACTTCTTGTTCCTCTTTTGATCCAAGAGCTTACAAAATGGGGTAAGCAGCCTGGGTCTTTGGTTGCCAGGCATGATAAAATGGTATTTCGCACTTGTCTTCCTTGGCTGTGCCTAATTTGCCATCTGGGTAACTTTATTTCTTGATAGCTGCAAGCTTCAAATCTGGGTTAGGTATATATTCCTAATCATATTAAGCATGAAAGATGTTGCTATGGTGTTAAAAAAAAAATAATGATAATAATTAAAAAAAGGGATTCCCAGTGTTCTAACCCTGTGGTTTGGATGATTGGAAAGACAATAAGAAATGAAGAATACAGGAGAAAAACATTTATCTTTTAATAGACTAATTATTATAGCTGAAGAAAAAAATGCATCTTATTGCTTAAATTATTTGAGCTCATTACTATAGAGCTCTGTTATTTTAAAAATAAAAATGGGTCATCCCAACATAGTATTCTTATTTACTATGAAGGAGGAACACAGTACTCTTTACTGTTGTCAACAATTAGCAAATCATAACTTTTCAGACTTTTCCACTTCAATAGTGAACAGAATATAGATGCGTTGTCATTTGAAAGGGAACCGGATTAGATTTTATGTACTAATCTCGGAGAGAAGCACTGGTGTGTGTCAACCAATGAAAAAGATATTTGCTAACTTGATATTTTTTTTAGAAGGGGAGATGAACCACTAGATGAAGAAGTCCAACTAACTTCTTTCCAGATGACTAGACCTTTTTATAACAAAGTGATTCAGATTTGTCATGGTTGTGACTTGATCAAGAAGCACTTTGGCTTGACCTTTATATGAAGTATCAAGGGGAACAAAAATGACACTAAAAGCTGCCCCAGTGGAAGTTAAAAAGCGTCTTAACCTTTTAGAAAGCATACAAAATACTGGACTTGTTTTCATGGCCCCAGTAGTATTTTATTTTACTGCTTTTAACTTCATTTCTACTTTACTGTGTAGAACAGCAGGGGAAATTGGCATTAGAAAAGGATTCTTGAACTAAACCAACATCTTCTAGAAAAAATTTGTATGAGGGGACCTAAGGATAAACATATTTTTATATCACAAGTATTCTGTTTGAGTCCAACATAACTGCTAAAACTTCCTTGTATGTTATAACTGGTAATACTTCAATTTTGAACTTGTGTTTTCTGCTAGGCTTAAAAAAATTCTTCCTGAATTTTTGTGCTTGTTTGTTGTTTAATTATTTTTCAACTTTGGTAGGTATTTAATTGCTAAATAAGTTATTTTTTTCCTCAGTGGAGCAGCCTCTTGTTAGTTTCACACAGGTATTCTTCCTTCTTTTTGAAACATTTACTTATAAGAAATGCAATTGAGTGAAATTAAATGCATCAGGAGGGAAAACATCAGGGAGGAAGAAGAACTGTTTAAACTGAAGGGCAGTGTTAGTACAAAAGCTAATGGGTATAAAATGCCCATGAATAAATTTAGGCTGGAAATTAGAAGAAGGCTCCTAACCATTAGAGCAGTAAGGTACTGGAAAAGCCTCTCAGTTGGAGTAATGGAAACAAAAAATATCCTAAGTACTTTTAAGATGAGAGAGAGTTAGCTGTGTTAATATAAAATCAGGAAGAAGTATATAGTCAGGCAGGGTAAAGAGGCACCATATAGACTAACTCATTGGCAACACATC